TTGCTTGCAATAGCTTTTGCCTTTATGTCATTGTATACTTCTTTCTTGGGATGTCTATAATTTCTAAAGAACTAACGTTGGGATGGGAATGGGTTAATGGGGCACGACAACTCAAACAACAGATATACTGTACAAGAGTAGTGTCTTGTTTAAGTAGCTGTAAATGCCCTATAGCCAACCTATTGTTTTCATGTTTCAATTTCTAAGATTGCTTCTGATTTTTATTTCCCCACTTTGATAGTCCTTTTCAAACTTGGACCGACCTCTGAAAAAATTGTGCTGCGTTTCACAGTGAAAAAATTACACACACATACACGTTCTGATATGAAACGAATAACTTCATTCTCCATTTCTATTTGAAATTCTACGTGGCTAGTTAAGAACTGTTTCACAGTATTGTTTCAGAAGAGATTGCACGTCTCCCTAGCAGCTTGCATCATAAAAGTGAAGATGCCTGTCACTTTTTTGTCTAGGAAATGAATTCGTCTTTGAAGTACGATTTCATGTTGTTATTTTGTTTGGTTGCTGGCTCACAGTTTTTTCTTTTTATAACAATCATAATTCTTGTTCGTGTGAGTTCCTCGGCCTATGCTTTGGGAAGGTTCATTCACAAGTTTGAAAAACATTTCAATTGGTAAATTTCGAAAGTTTAGGATTCAGGTAGTTTCCATTCTACTTTGTTTTGTCATATTTAATACCATTCGTTTGAAAACCTGGAACTCCCTAAAGGACTTACAAAAGGGAGTCAATGGAGTATAATGATGATCATCATTCTCATGTACTACAATCCTAATTATAATTGGATTTCTTTTTGTAAGAGGGGTTTTATCTCTTTTTCTTCTTCGTTATTGTATAGAATAGGATTTCTTTCTTTTTTCTTGATTAGAATAAGATTTCTCCTTTCTTTTTGGATTAGGATTTTAGTTTTCCTTCCTTTTAGGATTTTAGTTTCGTTTCCTTACTTTGGTAAAATTAGGGAATTATTAACTCAATGATGTCAACTAAATACGAGGGTTGCGCTCATTGCGTGACTTAACCCAATACCTTGTGGCACAAATTGACGACAACCATGCACCACTGTGTCTACATTCCTAAAAACACCCCTCTTTCAAGAGGATTCACGGCATATATTTATGGATTATTCTAATTTCTATGTATACTAAATATTCCAATTAGATTTTTTTTTTTTCCATTTTCTTTGAGTGTCTTCTTTGTTCTCTCTCCTTTCCTTCAGGTGAATCTGCCTATATAAACAAAGGCTTTGTACACTTTCGGTTAACATATTTCTTATAATCAAATTATTTTCTTTATATTTTTGAGTTTTTCAACTTCATTCTTGTTTCAAGAGTTTCAGTTGTGCTTCCGCACCACATTCTCTTTATTAATTTAATTGCCATTGCTAAGGGTAGGGAAGTGTTGTTACCTGCATTCAAGGTCGTCTTCTAGTTTTCAAGTGTTGTTAGCATCAAGCCATCAACATCTGAAAAGCATTGACGTGAAATAATTTGGTCCCGGGCTTTTTCTTGCATGTTCTCCTTGTCCTCCCCCGGCCCACTTTTCTTTTGACTTGTAATTGGTATACCTGCATCCTTGCCATCTATTAGTTTCATCGTCTAGCAATTCAAGTGAAAAATTGCCTCATGGATATGGCACCAGGCAAATGCTCAGAACTCTATCTTTGTGCGTGTTTCTGCTTGTGCACAATTTCGTGAACATATCTTGTGCGGCAGTGGTGGTTTAGTGATGTTCTCTATCAGAGAAGTCATGCAAGAACTTATTAAGTGATAAAAGACGATGTATTATCTATTTCTATACGGGACATAAACATGTGCCCTAGTAATTATATTCTCCCTTGCTTTGTCCTTTATGTGATGTTTTACTTCCACAAAAAGATAAGTTGTAGTAAATCCCTTAATGCTTATCCATTGTTGGAGAAATTTAGCCAAAAAGAGAATGCGCTAACTTTTTTTTTGTGTCAAGCTTGTCTTCTTTATTTTCTATATATGATTTCATGCTGCATATTATCGTATCCTTAGCTTCTCCTCTGTCACATTAGGGGCGAAAATTTTCGGTCCAAGGTCTTTTAGGTACAGAAGTGTGCTCCAGCTCATTTGTTGATGGAACTTTGGTGATATTTCGGTTGGCACCACAGGTTCTTGTCAATTTCTCGTTGTTTATGAATATATGTTAGGTTCATAATTTTTTCAAAGCTGATATATGCAAATATTGGCAGGATTACCATCGTTTTCATTTTCCTGTTTCTGGAACTATTGAGAAATTTGTGGAAATCCCTGGATGCTTATACACGGTATGTTCAGATGTATGTCTTTTTGCCATCTCTGTTTTATCTTTGAATTATACTCATTTCAGTTGTCTTTTTGCCTTCAAGGTTAACCCTATTGCAGTGAATAGCAAGTATTGTAATGTGTTCACTGAGAATAAACGTGTTGTTGCTCTCATTTCAACAGCAGATTTTGGAAAGGTTTGTCATTTCAAAGACTTGCCCCAAGATTTTCTTAGTTGTTGTAGAAATTAGTTTGTAACTAAAAAGTGATTCCCAACATTAAAATTTCTTTGTCCTGCTATAATCATTTGTGTATTATAGTAATTATGTTTTCTGTCCATCTATACTTTAGATGATTATTATGCCACCAGCTCCCAGAATGATCATCATAAAATTTGTCAGCAGTATCCTTTGGAATTAATGATTCGTTGTGAGTCTTACAGTGAAGGCACTTGTCTAGTCGTCCCAATAAATCTGATATATGACCCAAATTGAGGTGACGAGTCAGATTGTTTATGTTGTTAAGCATGATGTGTCGATAATCCCATTATCTGAAATTTCTGTCACAAGGTTTAACTTTCTAGCATACGTTCCCACTTTTAGTTGGAATGTACTCTGAGCAGTCTTTTAATCATGGCACTATGAATACTTAAATAATTTGCCAGCTCAAATGATTCAGCAAGTCTGTCTTCACAATGATTCACCAAGTTTATCTTTTGAATTTCACTGTGGGAAAATTTTGAATTGTTACCCATGAAATTCAGATATTGGTTTTTTACACATTTTTGAGTTCCGTAAACCTGATATGTATAGGATAAATCTTATATGGTCCCTTTTCTGTTTTTATTTCTCAAAATAACATACATTGATTAAATGTTTGAGTTTATCATCACTCTCACACTTGATGGGCTGAACTTCTGCAGTTGATTTGCATATTTAAACAAACATAAGCTATGCTTCACATTAAAATCAATAAATTGGATTTCACCTGCATTTCACGCTTCTAATATCGAAATCCATTTACCATTTCAGATGTTACATGTCTGGGTAGAAATTAAATATTTACTACTCCTTGTCGCTAACAATGTGTTTTTAAATATGAGTGCAGGTGGCATTTGTAGCAATTGGAGCAACTATGGTTGGTAGCATTACTTTCTCTAGAAAGGAGGGTGATTACGTGAAGAAAGGAGATGAGGTTCACAATAATTAATATTCAACTGTTACGATTAACTAATAGACACACTATAATTTTTTTGATCTCTAAGTGTATTGCACTTTCACCAATTTAATTCGCAGTTTGGATATTTCTCATTCGGTGGAAGTACTGTGATTTGCGTTTTTGAAAAGGTTAGTATCCATACTTGTCAATCCAATAAATTGATTATCTATTTTATTTGCCAGACTATCTCTTCAAGATACAGAGACACCAAAAGTTTAGTGGATTGGGGAGTGATGTGGCTTACCCTACCTAAATAGCTACCATCCCTTAGATTTTAGGAAGACTTTTTTTGCAGAAATGAAGAAGTCTTGCTTTCTTCACAATCCCAGTTTGCCCATTCTGGTTATAGTTTCTTTTAAAAAGTGGCCGAATGTGAGAGAATATTGACAAGCCTTATATGTTGTCAGTTCCCCCCAGAAATTTTGTAAGTTAATTGAAAACAGTGTTGTTTAATGGATTGCCAGCATGTTTGAGTCAAAATCAAAATAAATTGCTTAATGACTGTTGAAGCTATGTCCAAATTTGTTGAAATTACTCTGCAGGATACAATCAAGATAGATGATGATCTATTGGAAAACAGTGCAAGGTCACTTGAGACCTTAGTTTCTCTTGGAATGAGACTTGGCATCTCCACTAAGATACCAGCCGATAGCGAGTTGCCTGACATCCAATAAAAAGTGCTACAGGGGATTGGTATGTGCTGAAAATTCTACAGCCAAAAATCTTGGATATGACTGATGTGAATGTATGTACTTGTACAAATTGTTACTGCTTGTGTTGCATATTATTGCTTTAATGATAATAGTAGATGCCCTGCCAATTGTCACGTTATCCATTGAAAGTACACCTGGTAACTCTCTCTCTTAGCCGTTTCACAGTCAATGCAAGAGAGAGAGAGAGAGAGAGAGAGAGACATGATGTATGCATACATTGGGATGTGAATCATAAAAATGCTAGTGTTTTGTCACTGTTCTTGTTTTGTGCCTCATTATCAATGAAAGCATTCTTAAAATAGCTGTATTTGCAAAAGCATGGAGTAATTTGTTGCTACAGTTTTGACACCTTTCCAGAGTACGTCAAGTTTTTATGTCGTAACAAATTTTCTTGCTAACTAATCTGTATACATTTCTCAATTTAACAGTAGCCATAGCATAATAAATTCTACGCAAAGAGAGTTATTGCTGAGTGAAATCCGTTTCTGATAATTTATTTTCCGTTTTATTGTTTATAATATATTAAGCTTTCAGTATTTGCATTGTGATTTTTTCTTCTCCTCCTTTGGGATAAAGCTGTACTATTGTCACTCTACCACCGTTATCTGTTAGTATTAGCCCCTTCGCAGATTCTATTACAATGAGTATCTTTTAGGGCACTTGATTTCCCATCACATCAACGGATCTGTTTCAAGGTTGTTCCCGACAATCTTGCCAGATGGTTCTGTATAGTTTTACAAGAAATAATTGTTTTCCTTGGTGCTTTGTAATTCTCCGTACCTCTTCAGTAGGTTCTCATGTAACCTCCTGTGTTGTATGGATATGGATTTTGATGTAGGTTAGCTAATCCTACTTGTCCTTGCAGTCCATCTCTTGCATACTGTTGCCACATTAACTGCTCTTCTACTAACAGTCTCTGTTTCCTTTCCATCTCGAACATCTGAATGTACGGTGGTGGTGCTATTGTTAGTGAGGCTGCAAAAGGGTCGGGATCTGTATATGTGTTGGCGACTCCGCCAGTTGGTGGTGGAGCTGGCAATGCCAACATGGCTGGCCTTCCAGTCGAACCTAGTGCAACACTGCTTGTACTTCCAGTGGCTATAAGACCTGAAGAAGCTGCTGCCTGATCTATGACCCCTTGTTGATACATTCCATCAAGCATCAATGAGTGAAACCCTCCGGGAAGTGATGCCTTCTGGTTCGACAAATAGCTGGCCGACTGAACCAGTGCTGTTTCCCAATCATCTGATTCTTTGAAGGCTTCCCATGGAGTTATAGTACTCGTAATCATTGGCACTGGATATCCATCAAATAGGGCTAAAGCCAGTTTGTCTTCATGATTTTCTGTATTTGTTGCATCTTCACCTAAGTTCAACAAATCTCCTACTTCTTGGGTTTTGTTATCTTTCTCCTTACATGTATCCTCTTTCTTTTCTTCTCTATATATTTCTTCATGGAATCCTTCTGGTGTTGGTAAGGCCTTAATTCCATCCATGTCCCCTTTGAGTTTTGACTCATTGGTTTCTTCAGTCGGTTCAGGTTTTGGTGCCATGATCTGAGCCCTCCTCTTTTGTGCCATTGTTGACTTCTCTTTGATGAATTCATCCATGACGTCTAGTTTCTTTGATGGTATTTTCTCAACGTCTGGATATTCTGCAGAACGTGCTACTCCGACACTCTTGCAGAAGACATAAAAAGCATCAAGATCATCGTACTTTTTCGAAACTCGACAGAAGATCTCATAAACTTTTACTGAATTGGGGATATCAAGCTCCATGAACCGATCAGTCAAGATACCGATGATTTCTGTTATGTCATAATATAGCTGAAAGCTCTCTTTCACTATAGGGTACAGAGCAACAGTTACAACCCTGTTATATTTTGCAACCCCTGTTTCAAGTTAAGAAAGTTGGATGAATTATATACAGAGATATTCTTTTACCAACATATAATGGTAAAAGCCATAGAAATACAAACCTGCTGGTCTGCATGCTAAAAATCTCTCAAGGAGTTGCATCAGATGATGAATCCTTGAGAATATACATTCGTTCTTCATTTCGCACACCGGTGTTGCCCTGACACCCTTGGCTTTCCTGCCAACCTCTTTTTCCTCATCGTAGGCAAATGCACTGTGCTTTCCCCGCTTGCTTTGCATCTTGAATTCAAGGTGTTCGTCCAGGTACAATGCATATGTTCGGATAAATGCAGAATAATCCCATGAGTTCGACCTAGATCTGTCTCGAAAATCAGACATGTTAAGAAGGCGAGTCCCACGCCTTGTAGCAAAGAAAATCTCCTGTGCAAAGGCTGGATTTCCTTCTGTAAGTAGCCTCTGGATCAACATCAATGCCTTCAATGCCACAACCCAGTTCCTTGTTTTGCTTATGCGCCTCGAAATGGTGCTAACGCATGCGCCTACATATTGAGGCGAGGAACATGTTAACCTCAGGATTTCTCTAATATGCTTCTCATCCGGTGGGTGTTCTTCATGCCTCGTCGCCTTAACAATGGCTACCTCGAGGTCTGACAACGAAGAGCTGCTACCGACTTTGGCCAAGCCTATGCTAGTTTGATCCTTGACTGCTCCAATAACATTTCTAAACGTGCTCGGGGCCATGAATTGCAAGTCTTTAGCCCGAGCAGGATGACGTTTTCTGGGTATACATGCTCGTTACAATAGATTCAAAAGTAACACCGTGTATACACATAATATGATCTACAATTACAAACATTTCCATGTACATTTTATGTGGCTTTCCATATGCAAATGTAAAATCTGAGGATCTGGGATTTAGATCAAAAAGGTGGTTCAGATGAATTTATGGGATTTTACTGGAAGGAAAAGAAACTTTTGGAGACAGAAAAATTTCAATGGTATATGATTGGCAGAGAGAGAAGAAAGGCAGAGAGAAGAAAAGGAAATCTTTAGCTTCCTCTTTCTCTCTTCCTCTTCCTCTCTCTCTCTCTCTCTGTACCTCCTCTTGTTTTCATTGTTTTTGGCTGGCGTTCATTAACCAGCATATAAGATATCCTCTGTTTTTGCATTAAACACGGAGGTCCCATTGATACAACTTACAAGTCAATGGTGGTTCTTATATATGTTGTACCATATATGGGAGTGGAAATTTTGGGTTTTTGTGAATTAAATAATTGAATTGTTAGATTAGTAAGATTGAATGATTTAATTAGGGGTCGGGTCGGGTCGGTTCGGTTTAGTTTTGTTTGGTTCCAGAAATTTTCGGGTATTTAGTAAATGGAACCGTCGGTTCCAAATATAATTTTGGAACCGTTCGGTTTCGGTTCGGTTCGGTTCGGTTCCGTTTGGTTCCATACTATAATTAAAATTTTTAACATTTAAAATAATACTACATAAATATACCTTAAAGTGGATACCAATATTAATAACAAAAAGTAGATACAAATACCAAGTTCAATCTTAACTTTTACAAATTAACGTAATCTAATTTAATAACATATAAATAATAAGTTGTCAAATACAAATACCAAAAAGTAAATATTACTAATAAAACTTCGATATTCATATCAATAATTCATTTGCTTCAAACCTTCAAATCTACATAAAAGTGAAATATAAATTAGAAGTCACAAATATAAAATATTTTAAAGTATTGATAATACTTACCAACTATTTAATATAATTATTAGTTGGTTGACTTTCCATACTAACTATTAAGAAACTATATAAGAAAAAATTGAAAAAAACACAATTAACAAACATAAATAAACTCTAAATTGTTCAACTAATAAGATTTAATAAGAAAAAAATTATTAATTTGTTTAGAAAAAATAAAAGAAATTGATTTATCCAATATAAAAAAAAAAAAATTCGGTTCTTATTCGATTTTTCGGTTCTTGGTCTAGAATCGAGAACAGAACCAAATCATTCGGTTCTCAATTCGGATACCTGTTCGGGTATTTCATTTAAGAAAAATCGTTCGGTTCAGACATTTTACCTAGCCCTAGATTTAATATGACATTTTATCGGGTATCAGAAAGGAATCAGAAAGTGACGTGGCACCTCTTAAATCAACCTAAAAAGAAATTATAAAAAAGTTTAAAACGTGATGATGTTGGAATTTGGACTTTGTCCGAGCTCATGGAAGATATGCAAGGGTAAAGAGTATTAATAAGAGAGAATTTGATCATGAATCCCCTTGAAAAATGGTCCCCCTTATGTAGAGAAAATCACAATTACTAGCTGCCTTAGTCATTCATAGTTATATTAGTTGATCTCTAGTTATAGTAGTCAATCTCGATTTGTATGCAACTTGTCACATCAATGGTTTTTGATTGGTGAACTAGGTTGGCGACAATGGCGTAATGATTAATTAGGTTAGTTGGGAGGCAAATATTGTTACCCTTGAATATTCAATATTGTTGCTCAATTAGAGTTAAGTGTCCTTCTATAGCATTCAATTGGTCGAACTCATTAGGGTGAGCTAGGTAGAAGTCAAGGGCCAAACTCATTTGCTGAGGTTGTCTGGAGTATTGATAAGTGTATTTTATACACATATTTAGGCCAATAAATTGGAATATTTGCTGATGATTTTTATGAAATATATATAATTGTTCCATAGGTAATTATCGACGATCTTGGTGGAATTGGAGGAAAACAAACGGAAAGGGGCAAAATTGCATCAAATTCAAAGTGCAGGGACCACATTGCAACATTTGAATCCGAATTAGACTCACGCGATCACAAGGGCCAAAATACGATGCGATTGCATGGGTGGTGTAGAGATTTACCAAGGCAAAAACACTTAAACCATGCGATGGCAAGCCTTATAACCATGCGATCGCATGACTTTCTGGCTTGAAAGTATTTTCTTTATTTTTTCTTTGTTTAGCAAGTTTTGATATGACATCTTTCGCATCTTTTATGACATAGAATCCGTCCAGAACGAGAAAACTAAGTTCTTTAGCATTCAGGATCAAATTCCGTAAGGGTTATTGGCTCAAAACGTCCCTACCTTTGAAGGGTTGTGTGGAAAACATCCCAACGTTTGATTTTTTGGTGCGCAACGTCCCTACCTATCAAGTTTATTGTAGAAAACATCCCTACCAATCATTTTTTGGCACAAAACGTCCCTACCTTCTGCATTTCTTTGCACTGAACGT